AGGCAACTATCTACCTTTATGAAAGCTCTGCCATTAGCCTCGGATTTGCTCCTTCCTGAAGCAACAACAAGTTTACTGAACTAAGAATTCTTCAAGTATTTGAATATCTAATTTCCCTTCAGCCTTTCTGCAAACTAAACCCACTTAGTAATTTAAATGTAAATTATTCTTTCTAGGATGTGGTTCCAAAACCATGACCAATCTGACCTCTTTGGGCACACCCCACTTTGTTCAAATCATCCTTCAAATATGCACCTGGGATTGAAGTCACTCACTATCTGTGGAACAGACAAGAACAAATTATTATAGATTCACTTTTAGGAATTGATCACTAATCTTATTTTGTGTGTGTGTGTGTGTGTGTGTGTGTAGGATTAACAAAAAAAAATTTTTTTCAGGAGCTATTATCACACACTGATTCATATTAACAAACTACAGTAAATTTCCTGGATCTGTATTCAGCACTACTAAACATTAATTAGTCAACATTTTTTAAGCAGCAAAAGAATAATTAACTTTAAATTTTTTCACAATATCAATCTCAATTATGTTTATTGTTAAAGCCATGAAACCAAAATAAAACTGTGTTTAAATACTAATTTTTTCATGTAACATTTATGAGAATTACCCTGCCCACACTAGCAGTCTGCCATTATACCTGCCTGAGAGCTTTTACTAGTCATAGGAGATGCTCAATCCAGACAAGAGGTTTCCTAAATATATTAAGAGTGCTGATCCATAGCATCCTATTCTAAGTAATGAAAACTGTTTCAAAAAGAATTACGTGTTAAAAGAATTACGTGTTTAAGGGATAATGTGAATCCTGATAAAATTACATGAAGTTGTTATGAGAGTTTTACCAGCCTACACTAAAAAGAACAGTCATTTCAAAATGAAAAGTCTTCTGGGCGTCCAACTTTCAATGGGTAGGAAGCAGCCTGAAAATGCTACTGTGCTGAAAACGGGTGTCATTACAGGAAAAAAGGACTTCTCAGAAAGTAGAGCCAAAGGCAAAATAAAACAGACTAGGTAAATAGTTCTAGGTTGTAGCACTGGACCTAATCAAGGAACATTCATTGTCCCCAAAGCAGGGGATTCTGACAACATAGGCTTGGCTGGATTTCAAATTTGCTACCAACCAGCTACTGCTACATGCCCCCCATTCCTTGCCCTGATTTGAACTGGAGAATGTATTGAGGTTATCTTGTACCTTCTCCTCACCATTTTATACTGGGTGTATCTTTTCAGTTCCTACATCTGTTATCAAGAGGGGTACAAATTCTCCTATCAAGAAGTGGAATTGAATCCTCCCCATTCCTTTTTTGAATCTGACTGGCTTTGTGGCTTGTTTTGACTAACAGAATAGCAGAAGCAAAATGACTAGAGAAGCTTTGCAGCTTTAGCTCTACTGCTGCCACTACGTAAAAACCCAGACAACTATTAGGAAAGACCATGTGAAAGAATCAACTGCTGCCCCACTAAAGGCTCCAAGTAATTATCATATACTTCAGCCAGATCATTTTAACCATCCAATGCCAATCAAGCTACGAGATGATTGAAGCCACATGAGTGACTCTAAGCAATAACACCAAAGTGAATAAACAAGTCCACCTATGTCCAGCTCAAATAACAAAACAGGGGGCAAATAATTGTTTAAGCCATTACACTGCTGATTAAGTAAATGAAGGTGCCCGATTATTTATCATATCTCAGTGATAAATGCATCACTCAGATTGCTGTAGAGCAATCCCCAGGTGTGATGGCTTAAACAATATCAACCTGAGGAAAAGAAAATGGAAACTCACGCAGTTGAAATGAAGGTAAAATACCAAAGACCATGAACCACTACACTATGTTCCAGGTTAAACTTAGGAAGAATTTGCAGTTAGATTATCACAGAAGAAATTCTCAAAAGCCCTCCTTAGAACTATCCAAATTCCAGACTTAAATTTTAAAGAGAGGAGCATTATCAACTTACAAAAGAAAACAAAATGGATAACATCCTTGAATAAAGGGTCACTTTTTAATACGGCTTTCAATTTTCAACTTCAACTGAACTCTTAAGATACCACCTAAATTACTGTGACTTGAAAGACAACATAAAAGAGAATGTTGAATGGTAGGCCACTTTTTAAAAGATTACATAAGTAATGCAGAATTAATTTTTGAGGCCAAAACAAAATGAACAGTGTCTCAATTTTAATAGAGTTCTTTAATTAGGGAGAAAGCATAGGTAGTGACAAAGCACTACAATTCAGAAAACCTGGGTCTACTCTGACAGGGTGACCTAAGGCAAACCACTTAATTATTTTTGGCCTAGATTTCTCAACTATGACCTACCAAACAGCTACTAACACTCAGGAAGATTCAAAAGGAACACAAATGTCACCAAATTAAAAAGCTTAGCTTAGAAAATGGTTATTTATAACTAAACACAATTTTTAAATTATGTTTAATACCTCTTGTTATCTAATTAAAGTCACCATGCAATGACATTATTACATGTTAAATGTATATTCACCTAGTCCTATTATCAGTTTTAAGGAGAAGGTATAATTACCCTACTTTACAGAATAATAAACTGAGGCACTGAGAGGCTAAGTAACTTTCTTTTTTTTTAATTTTATTTTATGTTTATATTCCCCATACAATTGCAACCCCCTGATTTTGACCCCAACCCCTCCTTTCCCCGCCCCCCAAAGTGTGTCTCTGGTTCATAGTTGTTGATTTTGATTTTTTTTCTTTCTTATAGTTATTCTTTTTCCTGGTCCCTTATTTAGGTTTTCTAGATTCCTGCTATGAGTGAGACCATCCGGTATTTTTCTTTTTCTTTCTGGCTTATTTCGCTGAGCATGATCCCTTCCAGCTCCATCCATGTTGCTGCAAATTGCATGTGTTTATCTTTTTTGAATGCTGAGTAAGGCTAAGTAACTTTCTAAGGTCTCACACATGACTAGGGACAACGTCAGATCAAATACGTGTTTTTGAGTTAATACAGCTCAAGTCCAAATTTTAAATACCATCCTTTGCTATTTCTTCATAGAGCCTGAAGTCCAAGATCTAAATACAAAATAAGAATCTTGGTGTCATAAAAGCAACCAAGAAGCTCACGTATTGCCATCAGCAATGGACGAGACCTAGGAGAGCTAATGCCAATTGTGCACCACCTATACCTGCATGTAAGACAAGGAACAAGTTAGTGTCTCTGGGCTTTGCTTTTTCAGTCACAGAATAAGAACTAATACATTTTAAGATTTTTCCCTCCCCAGATTTGGACTTGGATTTACTAAAGTGGCTTTTGCAAGGCACAAGAGAAAACGTCATGGCAACATAAGATGTCACAATAAAACAGTCTGGGCCAATATTACAATGTCTTGCCCTAACAAGAGAAACGGCTATATAACATGCGCCACGAAATGGCATGACCCAACAGAAAAATAGCCAAACAGCCAGATATTAAGTAAACATCATCAGATTAGACGATGTTTAGAAAAAGATTAGAAGTTAACAGGCTTTTAATATTATCTTTAAAATATTTTAAAATAACACCCACTTGGCAAGTTATGAAGTGAATCTTTAGGATGTTTATGATTTAAAAATAATCTCATTTTCCAACAAAGGAAATGATGAATGCTAAATACTAAACTTGTGGGGGAGGAGATTCTCCTTAAACTGTAACCTTATCTATAAAACCCTGAAAGTTCCAGGCCAATTGCAAAGTTTTCTTAAGTGACATTAGTGGCAATGTAAGAGAGACCAACTCTAGTCTATAGTTCTAGAAAAAAGAAGAAACCAGCACCATTTCCTCCATGAAATTATCGAGCTAATAATCAGAATAGGGGTAGTTTTTCCTCCTCCAGGATTCTTACTAAGAGAGCAAATCAAGAAAAAAAAGAGATGGAAACTCAACGAGCCAGGAGTAACACTTGTGTGATCACAAATTAAAGTTACTACCGCACATTTCCAGAGGAAATTAAGAAACAACTTCAACCTAGAGTTGGAAACAAATCACACGTGTAAGCAGTTGTGCCTATTAACAAAGCCGGAATACTTTTAAAGAGGTATGTGTGTAAATGCGGCGTGAATATAAGGGCAGAAAATGAACTTCGTAGTCGCCTGCCTTTGTCCGTTTCTGTGCCAAGCCCTTCTGAAGCTGGGGTTGATAAGGTCAACTCCAAGAAGGAAAGAAGTTCCTGCGGGAAATGGTATCCTCCTGCAGCTCAGAGACAGGGTGACGCACTAGGAGTCTGGAAAACAGCCCACCGTTTACCTGACTCAGGGCACTTAGGTAGGAAGAGGGTCGTCCACGTGCACTATTGTTTTCAGGTGTGTTTGTTTTTAACTTCTGATTCGACCCCAGTGCCTTCAACCCAGGCCTAATGAGCAAGGGGGGGTGAGGGGGACAGGGGGTTGAGGATGGCAGCGCCGCTGGTGGTTTGTGGGCGCAACACAAGTTTAAAAAATAAAAACAACCTTTCTCCCCCTTACAATTGCAGCGTACTCGGTGCCCTCACCTCTCCTCCACACCTCTGCCATCACCCCACGCAGCACTTAGCCCCGCTGCCGCTTCGGGTTCCCTTGACGACAACCCCACCCGAGGGCGAGGCACCCCTTGCCGCCTCCGGGCCCCCACCCCGACCCGGCCCGCCACACTTGCTTAGCAGGTGACAACACCTGCCTCGGGTTCTCTCTCTCCCCGGTTCCCGGGAGGAGGAGCAGGCACCCTCCCGGCTGTGGGCCCACCCCCGGAGGAGGGCACGACTCTCCCCAGCCCGGCCGTGGGGAGGGGCGGCGGGCCGGCAGCCGAGGGGGTCCCACTCCCACCCCCAAACGTGTGACGCGGGGGCCGGGGCGCGACCCCCTCCAGGGACGCGGCGGCCCCACGCCCGGGTGGAAGCGGTCGAGAGCCGAGCGGCGGGCGCCGCGGGCGCGAAGGAACTTGCCGGTTTTCACCAACAACGACGCGCCGCGCCGAGGGAGAAGATGGGGATGACGCTCACCTTGAAGGGATTGTTGAGATCCGGGTCCGCGAACGGGTTACTGTCGAAATCCGACATCTCTCTCGCGCTCTGTGTCACCCACCCGACCCAGGCGCAGAGAGAGAGACGAGGCGAGGCCGCCGCCCCCCTGCGCGCTCACGTCGCCGCCGCCGCCGCCGAGCAGATCCGGGTGCAGCTCGCGGGGCCACCCAGCCGGCCGCGCCACTGAGCATGCCCGGTGCGCCGGGCTCCCGGCCGGCGGCGCGGCTCCCGCTCCCCGTTCCGTCCTCCCAGGGCCGGAACCAAAGCTCCGGGCTTTAGCTAGGGCCGAGTCGGGACCAGGGGCGGAGGGAGCCGGCCTCGGGGAGCGGAGGTGACCCGCCCCACGCCCCGGAGACTCGGCCGACACGCCGAGTCCTGCTGGGCTTCGTTATAGTAGCGTCCATTTAAAATCGTCGCCTGGTGACTGGGCGCGGCTTGGGGGCGAGGTGCTACTTAAAGATTGACCCCGCTGGGTGGGTTGGGGGCGCGACTCGGGGCGCAGGTTGCACACCTGGGGGGGCGTGGCTATTTAGCGCGCCCCGGCGCCGGCGCGAGGGCCGGGAACCCAGTAGGCGCCGCACCTGTCTCAGGCGAGAAGGTCCGGCGGGGCCCGGCTTCCGCTAATGGATTTCGCACACCCTTGAGCCCACCTGGGAATCCCAGCCTCCCGTCTTCCGGTCTCTGCGACTATTGCTGGCAAATCCTGGAGACCAGCTTGGGGCTATTGTAAAGGGCAGGCTCCACGGAGGTTTGAAAAGCGACCACCACCTGGGTCCTACCCTTGCTCCCATCCTCGGGAGTCTGCAAAATGGCTACTTCGGAGACTGGATGGAGGGAAGAGTTACTTCAAGAGATGAAGGCCTTCCATATGGAGAATATAAAGATGCCCTGTTTTTGTTTATTGGTTATTTATACCTTCAAGCTTTGGAGCACAAAATATATACACCTCTTGATATTTTTTCCTGTTCACTCCCCAACACCAAAGATGAGATACCCCCTCCCCCCAAAAAGGCCATGTCTAATGAATTTGTACTATTGGTTGCCTCATCCCTGAACTTAGAGTTTTGCTTTCCCAACTTTATTTGCCTTCTGCTGTAAAGGGCGCGGGGGGGGGGGGGAAGGGGAGGGGGCACTTAAATGAAACTACAAAGAGCCAGAATTATTTTCACATGGTAGGTGCCTCAGGACTGGAAGGAACCAGAATTAAGCATCCTTGGCCTTTTGGGCTTCCACTATGCAAAGTCATCTAGGAAATTATACGTTCCACTGTGAAAACAAGAACTAGCGATGACGGATTTAAAAAAAAATGCTGAATCTCTGTGGGATCCAGGTTGAGATATATAACAAAGAAGCTGCTTCTAGGTGGTCCACTAAGAGTGACAACTAGTAAGTGACAACAGAAACGGTCATGGCAAGGCTGCAATATTCTAGATATGAAAAAGAACAATCTCTCATGTTCATCTTTCTATGCTCAGCAGTTCCCTGGTGTTCTCATGACTTAATACTCAACATGTGGGTTCAAATCCCAGTTAGGAAACTATTTGTACTATGCCATCTTCCTTGAGTCTGTAAAGGGTTGTTTAGGAATGAAATGAAATGAATAGAAAAGTGGCCTGCGTGTGCTTAATGGCTAACAAGTATTGGTTGAATGTCTGAAAATGGTAAGGGGACCCAGATTATAATGATTCTTATGTGCTTTATTCATCTCTCCTGAGCTTAAACTTACCCAGCTGATCTGCTTCTGTCACCACTTAACCTTTATTCCCTCTGCCTGTCCTCCAAATGAGTCAATCAGCAGCTATTTATTATGCATCTACTATGTTCCAACTCAGTGAGAATCAGCTGACTCTGCATTACAGGGTGGAAATTTCCAACTATGCTGGATAGGAACTGAAATCTATCATCTTGCAGCGGATTGGGTCTCCACATTTGTTTCCAACTAATATTAATAGTACCTGGTGCAACATTTTAAAGACTTCATTGTTACAGAATCACTTGGCATATTTCTCAACATAAAGCTCCTGTCCTTAGAATTTTGCTTCAAAATGAGATAGAGGCCCTGGATCTGCATTTTTAAAATACATTCTTCATATACATCCTGTTACATAAATGCATAAATGAATTCACAGGATACATACTGGTGCTTTTACTTTTTTAAAAAAAGTATTATTTTTCTTGTTTCCCCACATTAACAATTTTTTGTGTTCTTCCAATTTAAAATATTGTATAGCTACACTCAATTTAACACATAATCATATGCAAACACAATACATATACAGATATACATAATACTCATGAGTTTTGGCATTGTCTTGAAAAATGTATTACACATTTTATTTTTCTTAGTGATTGTAGGACAGGAAGGGACACAGTGCAGGTTTTCTATGATCCAGTAGACTGGGTGTAAGAGGCCAGGAATGGCCACTGAGCAGGTTTTCTAGGATCCCATGCAGACCGGGTAAAGGAGGAGTTCTGGAGCCCTCAGGGGTTTTGCAGGTCTTTTATTGGGGTTCACCAGGCATATGGCAGGCAGGGGTGCTGGGGGGTTGGGAGGCTGGCAGTCCTTCCAGCCCCCAGCAAATCCTCACTCTCTCTGGGCTCTCTGGCATTCTCTCGTGTTCTCTCTGCTTTTCTTCTCTTGGCTTCTGCTGCTCCTGGCTTCTTTCTCGGCTTCTGCTGGCATCCCTGTGACACCGCCCTTAAAAGCCCAGTCTTAGCCCAGGCAAATGCCATCTACCTATGCCCACACCCTATTCTAGGTGCCCGCCATCAGGCATGCATTCAGGACCTCAAGGATCCATCATTTATCCTGATGGCGGGAGGGCAGAAAAGCCTGACATTTTTCCTTACCCTACAGTGATAATGAGACACAGGGCAAGCTAGGAATTATGCAGTTTTAAGGACAGTGCAGGAGGGGACCTCTGAAGAATTTAGGGAGGCTTCAGAGATAAGGACAACCAAGGGAAAGTAACCCATTCCACTAGGAAAAACAAATATCCCAGGACCAAGGACAACATTGTTAATGCTAGTCCTGGTTTCCTTCAGGTGGTAAAGGGAGGCGGAGATTGGAGAAATGGAGAGTGGTTTAATTTATGGACAACTTAGAAGGGCAGCTGTTTAACTTCAGTGCAGGGATGCCCATCCAGAAGACTGGGCCATAAATTTAAAGATGCAACAAATGGGGAAAGAAAAAGCTGTTAAATAAGGAATGTAAAGATCCCCTACTCAGTAGCAAATTAAGTGAGACAGCCGAGAACTAACCAATCACAAAGAGACTGGGGCAGCTTTAGAATAATGAGGGAAAAAAGGTATATATTCCCTGAGACATGACTCCACTTTGGCTTCCTTGCCCCTCCCAGGCCTGGTTCCCTGGCCTGGGAGTCCCACTTTATTTCTGTTCTTTTTCTCCTCAATAAACTTTTTCTTTCTCTAAACAAACCGCCTCTTCTCGCTTGCTTGCCTGAGCGTCTGCGAAGTTCCTGCTGCGGCTTCGTGAGACACCAACCCGTGGGGGGTCTAGCGGCTGGTGCTCAGCGCTGCCCTGCAGCCTGGGATCCGTTCCTGGCTGGAAGACTAGGCCTGACAATTCCGGTATCAATACTAATGGCAGAATTTCTCAATGAAATGTTCATTGCCAAAGACAGGATCTAAGGTTTCTTATCCCGGTATGCCACTACATATTATTTTTATGTGTACCATAACTAATCCTTACAAATCAAGAACTATTTTAACAATTCTGAAATCAGCAAAAAGGACTCCAGGTGACTGTAATAGACAAAAAAAAACTTTGAAATTCAATGAATGCTAGTAATGAACAGTACTCAGTGAGGGAATGTAGGGCAAGGTAAAGTATCAGGCTTTGCCGCCCTCCCGCCATTAGGACTGATGATGGATCCCTGCAGTCCTGAATGCATGCCTGATGGCGGGCACCTGGAGTAGGGTGTGGGCATGCGTAGATGGGATCCACCTGGGCTAAGACTAGGCCTATAAGGGTGGCGTCACAGGGACTCCAACAGAGAACGGAACAGCAGAGTAAAAGAGAGTGGGAAGACAGAAGCAAGGCCATGAGAGAAGCCTAGAAAGAGTGAAGATTTGCTGGGACTGGGAGGCCTGCCAGCCTCCCAACCACCCCGGCACCCCTGTCTGCCATGTACCTGGTAAACTCAATAAAACCCTGAAAAAGCTACCAAGGGCTCCAGGACTCTCCTTTACCCTGTCTGCTCAAATCATAGAGATCCTGCCCTGTGTCTTCCTGCCGCTATGGGGAGTTTCCTGTCAACCATAGCTGCAGCTCAAGTCAGAGGTGGCCAAAGGAATGAAACATGTGACACCAACAATATGTCACGTCTCTTGACATATCCCTGTTTTTTTCTAGATTGTATATCTCTCTCAGGCTCACACACACACCATCATTTTTACATCCTTAGTACTCAGTATAGTCTCTGGCATGAAGTACAACAGAAGCTTGAAAAACTGCATGGATGAATGAGTGGATGGCTAGATGGCTAGATGAATGGACATTGTTAAAGAAATTCCTTTCATATCATGTTTGCACTCACCTAACAGCTTTGCAAACCTTTCGTTACTTGCTTTATTAATAGTTTTTACCATATCCTGTAACATATAGGCTATATTTTCTCATCATAAATAAAAGCTGAAGTTTCTTAAAAGATTTTTAAAAATAATAAAATATCTGTACAAAAATAAAATTAAAACTTTATCTTCACTTTGCCCATATTGTAACATATTTTTCACCATAAAAAGCACAGGAAGATCAGTGATCATAAAATAAGAGGAAAAAATATTTACTCTATCAGGCAAGGTTCTGAAAAAATTACATTTCGCAAGGGTATTAAACTAGTTTCCTGATTAAATTGCCATTTGGTATACAAATGAATTTGAAAAATAAACTCAATGGAGTTTTAGTGATGTGAGATTTTTTAAATGATGTCAACGCAAAATAATCACTTTTAATCACTTATAGACCAATGAAATGAAGTTCTTAGAGCACTAGCTGATGCTGAGAATTCAGAAGGTCTAAACATGTCGAAGTAGCCTGTAAACAGCTCACTGGAGTGTGACTTTAAGAGCACCAAGAAGCATCTTGGCTGAGAGGCTGGGAGATGTTCACAAAC